ACAAAATGTACATTCTCACTGTTTTAAAGAATTCATCAATTCTTTCCTTTGAGAAACTAAAAAATCTTGTAAATAATAGTAGTATCTACAAAACGTTTTTACAGATTGAGGTCTCTACGCAATATCGATCGAATATCATCGCTTGAATTGCACACAGTTGGTGTTGTCTACATTGCATATGGCCAGACTAAGGAATCCGAAATTTTAGGAAATGTGTATGGTTCAACGCGTTACGCTAGTTTTTTGCGGTAATTTTTTGAATAACATTCATTACTAAATTATTAGGTGTTCGAACCAATTTGTTGTATTTTGAAATTTTAGACTTCTGGGTGATCCTATATCTCTGGAAGATTGTCCAGGCGGTCTCTCAGCTGGTTTTTGTGGCGCATTTACATACGTTTACACAGATGAAATTTCGAAAACCGTTTTCCATGTAGGTATGTTGTAGAAAAATTATAAAGTTAAATTATAAAGTGGATTGCGTATTAAATGAATCGTTTGCATTGGACATGGTAAAAAGTGACATTTAAAATATCGAACATATAGAACACTGTGGACGTTTTCTTTAATGTTTGGATCACGTCCAAAATAATAATTGCTTTAGCGACGCTAATGCCAAAAAGCGAAATTGATCCGCTTTGCAACTGCAAGAAAAAGTTCATTGGGAATGACTTTGTTTCGGTCGTCTTCAATGACAGTGGCTCGCCCTACGTTCTTGGAACAATTAGTGGAAAATTTGCCCATGTCGCTTTGGAGGTAGTTGAATTCCGTTCGAGTTTTTCTTCCTACTTTTTTACTGAGTTCATTTACTGATGCCGGAAAAAAAAAGAGGTTTTGGATTTTAAATACAACTTTAAGGTATTTGAGATGGAGTCGTTCCTTATTCTCATAGAAAACTGTAATTGGCATTTGGACAAATTTTGTTGTTATAAACTTGTATTTCGTCCCGGTTTCCCCTAATTTTCCGCTGAGTTCGTTTACTGATGCGGGAAGGAAAAGAATGCTTTGAAAAAAAAAGTGGTTTGAAAAAGAATGAAAAAGAATTTTTCCTCACACAAAACACATTTAGGTGGTACCACAAGATGATGAACATTTGTTGGTAACTGTTCATGCGCGTAAAGAAATTGCGCTGTGGTTGGCGATCTCTCGCGCTTTTTTGCCGGATCAACAGGCTGCTGTTCTTATACGGAAGTTAATCTTACGGGCACAACTATCGGTAAATGTTTGGAGACGTGAAGAAGAGGAAAAGGGACCACCCTACATCGGACTCGTTGTTGAACGGTTGCGGGCGATTCGAGCATTTGCTGCACATGCTACACCTATTTCGTAGCCTAAAAATTTAGGCTTTTAGAATTATTGGGATTCGTGGCAAATTTGATTCGTATAATGAGGTTTTCATTAGATTTCCAGTTGATGAATGAAATATGTTGAATGATATCGAGATGGTCAATGGAAGCGGATATTGCTGAAGGGAGGACAGTTTCAAACTTACGTCTCTTCCATAACATTTCCAGGCCTTCTAAGCTTACCTCAGTGGAATGACTAGCTAGAGTTTGCTGTAAGTTTAATATGCTACTTTACCTTAGCATTTGATAATTCGCTACCAACCCTTAATAGGTTTTTATTTATATGTCTGAATCTCATTTGTAAATAGCTTGTGAGCCGTTTTGGCGAATACTTTTGTCTTTTTTAACGGGTTTTTATTTCATTTCTACTTTGAGATATATTTTTATGATTTTTTTTTTTTATGATGATATTTCACCAAGTGAATCAATTAATGAAATGCTATAAAGTTCACGCCTTCATACGCTTTATTTGAATATAAAAGTAAATACAAAAGGTTTTAAAACCACCGCTGTTACATTAGAAAACAAGGAAATAGTGTTGTAGGATGTATATTTTAAAAAAAGAAATATTTAGTTGTATGAAGAATAACTTCCGCCCTACTGGCTGTTGTTTAGTGGAAAAATTAAGTGAAGCTTGGACATTACATAAAATACATTTAAGTAAAATTTAAGTAAAATATATTAACCGTAGTGCTTTGTCTGTACGCTTACTGCTAATATATGAATTCATCGTCTGAGGTTCTTTCCGTTCAAAAAGACTGATGATTTGAGATAATAATACTAGGAGTATCTCCAACTGACGCATGATTTCCAGTGAAACTAGCGATCTTTTATGAAATTGCCGTAAAACTGTTAGAAATTCGATTATAGGAATTTTGAGGCAGGGAATATTTCGAAATCTAATATAGTTGGGGAAAAGGACGCATGAAATAGAGTTTGGAAGTGAATTTAATTAAAACATAGAAGAGAAAGGTATTCCTAAAAAACAATCTATAGTGCATCGTCATCTTGAAGGTTCTGAAAACGCTGTCGATCTTTTTCGCGCTCTGCAGATATGAACAGCTCAGTTTTCTGAGCAACCCGTTTGCAACCAGATGAAGAATAGATTGGATTTGTTTTAGGGAAGTACTGAAAACAAATAAATTTAGTCCATTCTGGGAATTAGGACGTTTTCTGTACTTTATGCTATCAAGAAAAGCATTTAGAGATTGAAGTCAGAGACTTCAATCTCTAAATGCTTTTCTAATATCTCGGAAAAGACCCTCTCTCGATGGTTTTGAAAGAAGACTTCATTAGTTAATCGTCATCACCGGATGGTTCGATTGCTACTACAAAGTACGCCCATTTAGCCAAACTCTGTATGCTCAACATCCTGGTTTTAATAGCTAAGATTTTTTCGTGGCAACAGGAGCAAACTACCTGCAAAGAATCAGCAATAGCAGTGATACTTTCATCTGTCGGTGTGAATCCATGAGAAAACATATAATCTCGGATACAAAGCAATATATGTCTTCTTTCTAAGGGTAGGAAAGGAACAAAGTGATCAATCAAGTGTGCTGAGATCAATTCACTCATTTTTAGCCCGCCTGAAGTTTCATAACATCTTTATTAATTATATAATAGACTGTACCTTTCTCACAATACTTTTCTCATGAAGCGTTTGAGAAATTGAAACAGTAATTAGAAATGATTTTGAATTAAATTTTGAATTAACTTGTACGCGTTTAGTTTACTTTCTACACTTTTACTTATTTTACAGGGTGCTTTTCAAACTGCTGCAGACACAAAAAGTTCAGTGTTTTGAGACGTAAAACAGCGCACTAGAACGTGAAAATAATATTCTGTTTTATAGTATAATAGTATCCTGCAATTGTTTTGGAACTTCTAAGACTTCTATTTGTTCAACCAGTTATCTAATTACTACTTTAAATAGTTTTTTACGTATTATGGCAAGTTTTCTGTACGGAAGTGAGATAAAATGAAAAGAAAACTTACCTTCAGTGTTGAATGCGCTTGCCATGACAACATTCTCCATTTCCTTCAATGTTATTGCTTCTCTTATTTTTCCATCTTCATAATGCTGTAGTGCTTTCTGAGTTATTTCATTACTTCCAGAATTACTGCAAATGTTATTTGAATCACAGATCTTCAATATACATAAAGCTGTATTATGACTGAATAATGAGTAGAAAGCTCTGAATTTTATTTGAAGAATTTGAAACCTGCTAGAGTAAATAGTCTATTTCTTACTTAAAAAAACGGTGGACTCACACTTTGCAACCTTTGGGAAAAACTACACATATCAACTCGCTCAGTCAAGCAGCAATATATTACCAAATTTACTTCAGAGATAACACGCTTATAAAATTTTCGAAACTCAAAAATTTTAGACTCAGGACCAGTCATTTCGAAGTCCGTGAATTCCGATTTTATCACTGATGGCTTCTTTGTTGGATGCCTTACACTTATTACTTATCGCTGAAGATGAATAACAAGTGCACTTACAGCATGCATTCTAGAATGCTGGAAATGAAATCAGTTTGGACTGTAAAGTAATGAAAGTGAAAACTAAATGATGAAATGTTAATATAGAACAAAGCAAAGGGCTTGCCTGAGAAAAATAAAAATACTTTTCCGAAAATCAACACCTTCCAAATATTCATAATGGTCGATAAAAGGCTTCACGGCATCAATTACTTTAGCAGGCATTTTGTCTACTTCGTCAAAGACAAATAAACTTCTTTCGCATTTCGATACATTCCCTTGTATCCATGAACGTAACTGCACCTATACGTCCCAAATAAATTAAAATGCCTCGTATTATCCAAATATTAACCAAAACCGTATTAACCGAATTCTATATGTTACAGGAAAATGAAAAGTAAATTATACCTGATAAAGTGGTATTTCTAAATAGTTTGAAAAATGTAGCGTCGAAACATAAACATGAACATAGTCACTTTTCATTCCTTTCCTACAAAAAGAGATATAATGACCAATCATGAAGGAAAAACTCACCTAAACTTTGAATTAAAAGGAATTTTCTAAACAGTAACCTGTATAAATTCTCGGTAATTATCGAGCTAAGATAATTTTTGCCACAACCAGTCCATCCATGAAATGACATCACCAAAGCCTTTTTAGGATTTCTGGAAGTATAGCAAGGAAAAGGATTTGGAATTTCCTAGCTTATGATCCATATTAAAGTACGTCAAAAGACACCTTAAAAATCCCTTTAAATAAGACACTTTAAAATAATATTCGTGTTCATCACAATAAGCTGGAAAAAATGAACTTACGGATTTTTCCAATGTGCAATTACAGCTGTTATTATAGTTTCCTTAGCCAGATGCTGCCCATATAACCGTGTACGCAGAGAATGCTGTAAACCTATAATTTAAGCTTTGAAACAAAGATATGTTTAATCTATGCACTATTCATTTAATACTGAAAACATTTTCATAGCCATTGCTTTCTACATATGCAAACATTTATATTACCTTGTTTTTAACCACTATTTAATACAATTTTGAAACATATCATAGTGATTAGATCCACAAATTATCATGCGCTTGATAATTAAATCGGCTTCCATACTGTCATTTCGTCCTGTCTGATAGTTTTCAAAAAAGGAATAATGAAATCATCAGGGGTTATCTTTCATGACGAAACCATTCATTAAAGGATGTAGAAATGAAAATCGGACTATACAAGCTTATCTTAAAAAAGTCCTTCTGTTGTGGGAATAACTCATCACTATGTGCATATTTAAAAAAAGCAATGTACATTACGAACAAATGTGAATCGAAAACAGCAGGAACATATAACACCGACTGATAAATTTGTATAAAACATAAACTGAAACACTTTTTGACAAAAAAAAAACCCAAACATAGAATAACTAACGAACAGGAAGTATTCACACACCGAACAAACATTACCTGTATAATCTTCTCGTACCCAATAACTGTCACAACATTCGAAAAGTTTACATCGAGCATAGTAACTGAAAATGCTTAGTGAAGCAGCGATTGCTGAACCAGCGCCCACTAGCAAACTCAGTGGTTCTCCACATACCTGCAAATAACATCATCCACTCAGTACCGTTATATCATAGCAATAAAAACTGCACTGAAAAGTTGTAACAGAAAATTACATTAGAAATTTATTTCGCTTTCCACCCTTTATGCTTTCCATCTCAATAAGTAGCGTAAAGTAGACTTTCTCTGATTTATCAAGCCTAAAGTCTAGGTCTTGAAAAATGTTTAAGCCTTAAACTGACTCACAATCTACCCTCACATTTGTATTTTCTCTTGAAAAGTGGGAAACTGTTTAACGATCATGCCAATGTGATAACTGCTGGCTGGTGACATACCAAATCTTTCGTATGAAGGCACAAAAGAAGCAAAATAATGCTCCTTGCGACATTCATGATAACAGCTGACGTTGTTATTAGCACTCATGCCAAATGACGTTTTTTGCTAACATCCCGTGGGAATAAATATGGGCAGCATAAAAAAAGCCTGTAAATTTCTATGGATATTGTTTGAAGGAACAAATTTCGTCCCTTTGCTTCATTTTCACAGTTCACATGAAATTGTAGATGATCAGAACCTCGATAAGGATTCAAAACTACCACCCCAATCAAGTTTAAAATATTTATTGGCTGACTAAGGATAAGCAACTTAATCTATCGGTGCTAAACTAAAGGGTATATGGGGTATATGAAAAAGGATAATCTAACAGCTGCCGCCTCGGTTAGCATTGAGGAAGCTCAAATAGGGGATCTGTCCAACGTTGTAGTATCATCACCTTAAAATGCGTTAAGTGGTCTGACATTTCATTGGGCATACAAAATTGAAGAAAAGTTCGAATTTGTTTGAAAAATTTCCGCCAAAATTATTGAAATAGGAGGTTTGAGTTTAACGATGGAACAGTACAAATCTTGATTGCTTTCATTGAATTTTTCATCATAACTCTCTGAACACGACAAACAAAAGATACAATAAGCAAAAACCCAAATGATTTAAACTTTCTTCATAACTGCCTAATTTTGACATCGTAACTGAGTAAGCAGGATTGACTGAACATTTTTACAGTGGAGACCAAAATGAAATCATTTCAAGATGCCTAGTCAATCATCATCCTTAGCAAATGTTTCCGCAATATTGAGGTAGCCGATTGCTCGAACAAGAGGTGACTGATAACTGCTACTACGATCATATTCCCACCGCGTAAATGACGCTGCTGAACCACTAACTTCAAAAACACGACTGTTATCTGCAAATTCTTGAATTCCACTGTCAACTTTTAAACGATTTTCAGCAGCTGAACGTTCCTTTCTTCGCGATGAAAAAGAAACAAGTTCAGACACTGGGAAAAATATAATCGTACAATCTTTAATAAGACTGACAACTTCACAGAAAAACGAAAATTAATTGCAAACCTCTGTCTTCTTTTTCTACAGCAATATACAAGCGGTAGGCGTCTGGAAACTGTTGCTGCACTCCATTCAGAATGCGCCCTCTAAATGTTGCGACTTTCTGATTATCTACAAAATATTACCACACGTTTCAGTAAAGTGATCAAACGCTATGGAAAACTTCGCGGAAATCGAACTTGCCTCTCTAAAGTTTTACCACGCTTGACATTTATAAATTATTCAATCTTCAATGCTACTAAAACTCTCTTACCATTTCAGCACAATAAGTTCAAAGATTCTATACTCCAAAGAAGCTAAAAACATTGAAAGAATAATAGTCAATGCTCTTTCTCACTGAATAGCTCGCAGTACTGCTAGCCCCACTTCGTTAGCAATGTCACAATAACAAGTAGATCTAATTTTCTTATATTTGCTATGTATAGAAATCTACAATTTTATGACAAACAAGAAAAGCCACCTTCCAATTCCTCCGTAACAAAATACTGTGATACTTTTGCTGGTCCATCGTATTCAATCTTGCACGGTAGAGAATGAAATTCATTGGTGAAATCGTCATTACTCATTCGACCATTTTCAAAAATAATATTTTTTGCTTCCTTGAGATGTCTCGCTACGATCACCGGATTTCTGGGTACTGCCACTTTTTCCTTTCTTCCCGACATGAACAGTTTTTTGTGTTACAGAAGCTTCCTTTTAACACAAAACAAGTAGAATGCAAATTGTTCTCTTGACTAATCCTAAAATATAAAAATCGGCAAAACGGAAAAGATCGTATTGGGCAGGACTGCGTATTAACTGCTTAATAAACTTCAAATAGAATATTTCGCAATAAATAAACTTTTATGCTATGAATTAATGCACAGTAAAACTTCAGCCATTATTCCCTCACTATCCTATTTTATCCCAAATTTTTTTCAACTGATAATCGAATTCCATATCATTTAATTCATTTTTCATTGAAACAACATCCTGTCATTTTGAAGCCAATTTTGAAACAATTCCTAAAGTCTTACAGGTTTTTTTCTTTTTTTTAAAATCATTACAATCATGTGACATGAATATTCAAACAAAGTTTCATGAGATCATATTACAGAAAACTCGAATCAAATTATCAGCAAATACACTTGACGAATCCCATTCATCGAGTCGCAAGCCTTGAAGGCACTCTGGAGCCGAAGAAGTAAGTCCACGTGGAAAAGTATTAGGCTCTGACCAATCAACCATCAAGCACAGCTGAAAGCTTTTTTTTGTATCCCATTCTTCGTATGACAACGTGACGGTTATCTGCAATTTATAAATACTAATCAAGAGGTACAGCGGAACTATATTTTAAGAGGATAAGGGACCATATAGGAATTTCTATAGCTAGATCATAAATTCCCCCAGATAAGTATTCATACAAGAACTGCAATTCACTACGTTAAAGGCAGCGAAATTCCTGTCAATTTTCGCAATAATAATGAAACATATGTAACACATGTAAATTAATAATATAGAGTAGTTATACCATAAAGAGTTGAAATTAAAACAAAAGAGAAATGCTTACGCAGGCAGGGTCATCTTCATTGACTGCCCATCCCCTGAATGTAAATGGATATCTGACATCCGAGCACAGTTTCACTGCTAAGTCTATCCTCAAATCAATTTATATCGTTGAAACATAAAGAAATAAAGTCATGGTGTTGACCACCACCAATTAATGAATTAGCAATACTATCTCAGGTTATTAGCTTCTTTTCCCATACTTTCTATCCTAAACTAGAAAAAACTGAGAAGCATCAATAACAGTAACATCGTCGTACCTCAAACAGCGTTCGAAGAAACTATGATACAACGAACAAAGTGTTTCATTATTTTGCCATGAATGCTGAAATGCAGAACCCAAGCTGGATATCACTCCAGGACCAGTTGTACAGAAAGATTCCGTCCAATTTAGCTTCAAAAAATAACTGCTAGCATCCAACCTACAGAAATAATTTGCGTTTCTCTACAATACATTACTACCCATATAATCATAATTACGGAAGCAAATTTTGGAAGTTCTGTGACAGGCCTTAACTCAAGAAACAGTCACCCTGTGTAAAAGATACGAAGTGTAGCGAACAGATTACAGTGATTATCATTGTTTGAAAAATTGCGGTTCCAAATTCATTAGACTTTAATCGATGTCTGGAGTTAGTAAATACGGGATAAAATGCAACAGGTATGAGTAGCTGCCCTGACGTCAAACTTTCCCACAACCACAGACCTTTTCAAGTTGTTTAAACTGAACCTGATGCCAGCTTATTATTGAAGTAAAAGACTTATAGACAAAAGGGGAAACAACCTTAGAGTTAGTGCTACTTGTTGGAATGAATTATTAACTTCTGAACAGCAATCTTCACCAGCCAGTTCACACAGCTGTTTAAGCCATTCCCACTCAGATTCGACCGGCACAGATGTATCAGCTTTACCATTTACGCCTGAACATTCTATCAGGAAATCGGCCCACGGCAGCACTGACATTTCCATCAACCTGATAATGGAATTCATTTGACTATTGACTATTTGAGAGCCCTCCTTTTCAATGAATAAGCAAAACAAATCACTGACTGAAACAGTAAAACATAGAACAAATTTTAAATGCGAAAATTTTTATTGCAATCAATAATCCATTCAAAAAAACAAAATACACAACAATGCTACTCAGTAGCAGAACAATATGTACTCAACTTCGTTTACCATAATTTGTTATAGTAATATCGAATTCCAAATTAAAAAAAAAAAAAAACAATACACCACTGAAATAATTCATATTCTACATATCAGAGAAAACTGAAAACCAAGTAAGTTTATCAAAATTAAATGTAATGTTGGGTTCAAATCATAATACAATTTTATTCAAATTACTAAATCCAATACCCATGCAAGTCATCAGTACCTTCTCATTGGAGCCTAATCTCTGTTCTTTATCTGCGCCCGGCTCGTTCCAAACGTCTATTTTAAACATTATTTCAAAATACTTCTTCAAGTTCCGCAATGTGTACGTACTGAAAAATACAAAAAAGAAAAAAAGAAACAAAGTACGCAGCAGATTTTGACAAAATTAATAAATCAGTTTGCACCCGTTGATTCAATTAGAGCACATTGATATATAAACTATCGTATGCAATACTGGATGTTTGCTGACAGAGAGTTTGAGTTTTTTGTAGAAAACTGTGGCGTATGTTCCAAGAAAATGGAAAACGTCTTTCTTTATAAGCAACGAGTGAAATATTCAAAAAAGAAGCCATGATCAGAAGCACGGAAGTATTTGCTATTTAGAAAAGTAAAGGAGCAATCAACACATTTCCAGAAAAGCAGATGATACTAACCAGTAGGCAGAGAGAGGCCCAAACAGATATGTACTGACATCCTTTTCGCAAAGCGTCATGAAAGTTACGGCTAGGGCTTGAGCTGTGATATCAACACATCCTCCCTGCAAATATTATAACTATTAAGTGAATACTGCCAAGTGGCAGCAGTGATTTTCCAATATAATCTAACAATGAAATGAAACGAAATTAACTGCAAAGATCTGATCCAACAACTGGCATGCAGCCATGTGTCCAATGTCTTCTGGCACAACCGGGTTGCCTTGCTCACCTTTCGGTTTTGACACGGCTTCACCATGATAAACGATTCCTTCTGTAGTCTCGCCAGTTAAAAAAAGACCAAAGCCAGGTGAACTAAAGAGTCAATCATTAAACGTTATTTAGATAAAGCAGACTGATGTTCAGAAATTTACTTTTTCTTTTTTTTTCTAAGTAAAGACTCCAAACTGAAACTATTCTGGGTGATGGACTATTAAAATTTGTTAACAGTATTTACACTACTTATACTTCACATTTAATTATTCTTTTGCTTTTCGCTTCCATTTCCTGGAGAAGCAAACTGTTCGTTGCCAATATGCGCAACGTAAATTCAATAAAAAGACTAGAATATATCCGATACTCATTTGCTGAAAATAATCTTGCACGTACACAACACTAATATTGTTCAGAAGTCCCTATGTTTAAAAACGAAAAAGCCCTCTGAGAAAAAAAAAAAAGTCCAAATGACAAATTACCAATACCTTCCACCAGATGTTCCTTTTCTTTGATCAACAGTGATATAAATGTCAGCAATGTAATCACGAAGAGTTTCTTTTGCTGCGTCAATCATACGATGTGCTATAGATGGAGAGACTTTGGAAATAGACGCGACTCCTCGTATTTTACATATTTTACCCATCGTTTTGCACTAAATTATAGCAAAAAGTACAAATTTTAAAGATTAATGCTCATATATTTACAAACGCAGAATTAAGAAAATAAAAACCAACAGGATGTGGTGTAACTGTTTTTTATAAAACTGAAGAATGTCCTGGCACAACAAAAAAAACATTTTGTAATAAAAAGACAGAAAAATTTAAAAAAAGACGACACCTGTACAGGACGAAAGGTTCTTATTGTTGGTGCAGTCAACAATACACATCCACCACCATCCGGCTTGTAACCTCGGGCGACAATCTAGGTATTTCATTTCTCCGACAATAATACTATGACACTCAGATTCCCACACTAATTAGCATTATCGAAAGTGGTTAAATTATTTCAAATTCAAATGAACCTTAATTTCTGGCGAATCAGATGCGAACACAAATTTATTAAAAACTGGAAGCCATGTTGCACGAATGGCATCAACGCTTAACTCATATGGAGCGTTGGTTATTCCTAGCAACTTTGCGCTAAGTGGATACTTACAAAAAGGAGCAAGCATCAACAAAGGTTCCAAGTAGTAACTGTAAAATATAGAATAATTCAAACGAAAATTACAGAAGAATAGTGATACAGCAATGACAAGGATACTGGAAGCAATTCAAAAGTAGGTAAGAATAATGCTGTAATCCTATCAGCGACGGTATGTTCTTCTCAAAGTTGATGATCGCATATCTGTGGACTAAACAAAAGAGTAAACCACTCAAAAATAATTAACAACTAAGACTATCCATTAAAAACACCAGAAATCATCCATTAATGTGAACAAATTTAAATCGAGAAGTGTCAGAGGCCAGGTAAAATCAACCTTATACATCGGTCACTACCACAATCAAAAGTGAGTTTGCCGCCCGTGATCATACCAGGTAAAAATACAACTTCGGTACCTGAAAAGAAGAATTTAAGCCTACAATCGATTTAGTTTAGAGGAAATATACAAAGCAAGTAAGAAAAAATGCACTGCTGAACCTGTTTGATTGATTTTGATTCGTGTACCATTAGTTATCTTTTCCAATAATAACAAAAGTTTCGACTCGAAATCTAAAAAGAATAATCTATAGGATTTTTAAAGGAAAGAATAGTGGTTAGATGAAATTACATTCTAAAAATTTGGAAAACCTAGAAATTCAAAATCAAAAAATGCAAACCAGGCAAAAAAAGAGATGCAAAAATGCAACCAAAAAAAACCATTACTAAAACCGTTGCAAAGTCAACCTAATGAATATGAGTTGTCCGTCAAAGAATGAAGTGATTTACTTCAGCTATCAAATATTACGTAATAAATGAACGTTAGATGAGAACGTACCTCTTATTCCTGGCTCATCATCAAGAGAACGTATCTCGGAAATGGTCACTGAATGACCACTTAGCAATGAATAAGCAAGCCGTTGTCTGAAGAAGTTGCATCCTTCAAAGCGTAATTCTTTCTGCCCCATAACTCTTAAAACGAAGCAATGCAATCTGAATCTCCCACTGAAACAACCCACTACCCATGTAGCTACCTGTCGCCACTATTAACTCACCTCATTCACACTTCTATCTCTTGTCCTGATATGCCACACTTGCGTCTCATCTCTCCTGCATACAATTCCTGCATGAATACTTGTGCACGTCTGCTGGTGATAGCTTTTGCTTGGTGTGCGCCGTTTGAAAAATGCTGGCGGTGCTGACATACTACTTGGGAGGGACTTTTAAATCAGTTTTAGTTATTTTAGACTATGCAGTCCATATTTCTAGTCACCGACAAGTTGGAGTTTTCCTGGAAGCTTTGAAGTTTGTAGAATAGGAAATTCATTTTAAAAAAATTTATGAAATAAGAAATCCATTAAAAGGAAAATTTATATCACTTCAGAGTTGCACGCAAATTTATTCTTATAAAACAAATGGTCTACATCACAATTTAGAGTTTGAAAAATGTGCAATTTAAAAAAAATTGCTTAAACAAAAAATGTGCCGCTGGTTCTTTAAATCTGCATTTTACTAGTTCGTGACTTTTGGCCTTTGACCATTCGTGACTTTTGACCTTCAACCCTTTGTAACTTTTGACTCTTAGTTCTATGCTGCAGATATGCAGTGTCGTTAATGCATTTGCTCGAAACAAACCAGTCTTGTACCAGCATACTTTGCAAATTAGACAATTCATTCGTAAAATCACTTCATTGTTTATCTATCATTTGGAATCACCTGTCACTTGAATCTTTAAAAATGCGGTATAGGCACTTTTTTCAGATCGCATCTTTGGCCTTTTTATCGACGTTTTTGCATATGTCTGTAATTCATGAATCAACTCGTAGTGATTGGATAACAGTATTTTTTCTAGTGAGTCGTGGAACGTGCATTACAAATTTCAAAGCGCTTCAGTTCACTTCAGTTCATTACTGCACAACAGATTGTATTATTTGGTCAAGAGTTGACCAGATGAATTCGAGTCACTTCGCAAACTTTCTGATATCCTTTGCATCTTTTTTTGTCCAACCTACTTGTCCACATCACTGAGCATAACTCGAACTATAAGTTAAGTTAACTGAGTTTATACTTCTCATCATATACTGAGATATGTTGATGTCACCATGATTTTCTCTCCATTCTCCTATTCTTAAAATTTATCGATTGTTTTTTTGTCTAAACCAATTTCATCCCCTCACTGACTGAATTACGTAACTTCAGAAGATGCAGTAGACTTCCTATATCACGCAATACCAGCTTTGAGATGTAAAATGGTCAAATGTATACCTCAACATACAACCTGATATACGTAAGCAAGCGTTATCATTTTAAGCAGTCACTTAAATCATGATAATATGGGCAACCCTTTACTCCTCCGTTCAAATTTTTGAAACTTTTGGAACGTATGCCTATAAAACATTTCTAAGCATTTTTCAGAAATTTCTTTCAGTGATAAATTTATCAGAAATGCTTCAAATCCATTCTGTCTTATCTTTTCTTTATTATTCTCGCCTGCTTCGGTGAAGAAAAATCAAGCTTTCGTTTGTATTACACATACAAGTAGACAATTGCAAATATGCGGATATCCTTTCCATCTTTTTCGATCATATTTATCAGTTTCTGATACTGACATTGATCAGGTTTCATGTCCCGCCTTCAAAACCTGAATTTTAAGCTATTTGCTTAAAATATGAGATAGTGATGTTAAAATTTAGGAGGTTATAATCGCATCGAAAATAACTCAGTGAATTCCATCTGTCAAAATCATTTCTTTCATTTCGCCAATTACCAATTCATTATCGAAATAAGACGTTTCTTTGCACCAATGGCAATCCAGATGTATCAAAATCAAAATAACAAATGACAAATATACCAGAGTTGCGAAATGCGATATTCGACATCAATTCGGTGTTTATTTTAATTGAACTCGTTTAGAGTAAATGTTATTCGCAGTTTTCCGCTACACATTTTCGGTTTCTTTATTTAAGAATGACTAAATTTTTAAGTCTTTACATAATTTCCGCTTTAAAAGGGCTACAACATTTAAAAAGTGTTTAAAGCTTCTAGCTTCCAGTAGATTCGTCGTCGCTTTAATCTCTATTTCTAAGTACTTTCTCCTTCGGGAGATCGATCACCACTTGAATTTTTTTAAGAACTTTTGCGCAAAACGTTTAGAAAAACTTCCATTACGAATCTACAAGAAATTTATGTTCATGCAAATTTTGTATTTCAGTATACCATTTAAAAGCCCATCATGGTATGTGCGGTGTACTGTACACTGTTTTGCAATCATGGAACGATCGGTAAGAAACGTGAAGCGAATGTTGCGCGAGAATGTTACTCGCTTTCTAGAGCACGCTGACGGACGTGAAGTGACCATCACTGTAACGGCGCGACTTGTCAAGAAACGTCAGTTCGATCCATTTCTAGCGTTTCTTTCGTAAATGATGCAGTAATACATCTCACCTGTACAAGATAGAAAAAGTGGAACAAAACTGATATTTTGTGTCTTGGACCATATGACCCAAACAGAACATTGTGGATCCCATATTGTTCGGGTAATTAGCATTAAAAGAATTGAACTGTTTACTAATTTCATCCGATACGATGGATGACGTTATTATTTATCATTTCAACCTATTAGTGATTTTAGATCTTAGCAGCTTGGTGATTCTTGGCCTTGGTTCACTAGTGTCCTTGATGGCTTGGTATTTCTTGGTCCTGATTCATTAGTGTTGCTGGTTTTTGCCACCGTTCTTAGTACGTTCCGGTGGTGTTACATGTATGAAAAAAATCAAATTTGAACTGAAAATAGTTATCGTTTTGCATAACCTAATGTTTCCCTGAGTTTCAGAAAATGAAGGGCAAAAAAAGTTGGAAAAGGTTAAATTTTGCTTACCTTTCTAGAAATTTTACCGGTCAAAAGTCTTGACCTTTTGATTTAAGCGAAATATGCCAAATTCAATATTAATTTTTCTTCACACCGAACTTTTTCCCTAAATCTCAATAAATTTACTATTCTAACAGTCTATTCATTTCATTTAGGATGTAAAAGTTGAACATCCGCAGCGAAATCGTGCAAAATATTTGGATAGCACTTCGTCGCAAGCTTGCACGTCAATTAGTGCATACAACCAGAATAACAATTCCGCCATTGTGAGTACATTTGTAATTGGAAAAAATAAACAGCTGTAGAAGTTTTTAATAAGGCTTGGAGTCAAAGTGAATCTTTTACTTTGAAATGGAGTAAATTCAGTTTTGTTTCGTTTTAATTATTTCTTTTAGAAATGTCAATTTCAAAATTTCACCATCAAATGGCTAATAAATTACAGAATTCCTTTCGTAAGCTCCCATAGATACTTGATAATTCAATGCAGTTAACTATCAATAAATTGCTCAATTTCTGACGGAAAGTAACAAATGATTGTAGAACTCTCTCTATTATGATATATCTTCATCTGACTCTGATATGAATTGCAGGATTGGTATGGTAAAGGAAAGGACAGATATCATTATAGCAAAGAATAGGTTTTTACTATTCATGATAATATTGTAAAAGACAGAAAATGAAGTGCAAATAGAAATTTGGTTCAAAATATTAAAAAATTAATTACTTGCATATGTCAGTCAAAGCAATACTATATAAATGTATATTTTGCTAAATACATTTCACCCTAGCGCTTCTGTCACTTTATGGTTCAGTGACAAAATTCGCCAAATGAAGTCCACTTTACTATTTTTTTATTTGTTCCAACATCCTTCTGGCACATGCTATGTATGGTCATCATATTTTATTTTCAGTCACAAGGTATTAATTAGTGGTGTTTGAACTCTCTATGTCTTCCTATCATTACATTGTTGGAGAGTACTGTTTTCATGTAAATTTGACCAGTTGCGGAATCATTTCCACTTGACCATTTTTGCACAAATGACTCTTTTTCTGGTCACTTATAAATCTCAACTTTTATTATGTAACAATAAACAGCAAGCTATAAAAGTATGCTTTCTTGTCAATTATCAGCAAATATCAAACTTGACTGAATTTTCATCTTCACAACTTACCGTAGGCTTGTATTGCTATAGTTTTTTCACGACGATTTTTTGGAATAACAAATGGTGCGAAAACTTGTAGAATTACGATGTAACGAATAAATTTCATTTGTTTTGAGTAGAATATAAATCCTAACAATTTTCTTTTTCTCAATCCATGTTTTGGATGCTCATTTCGTGCATTCAATTCACTCTGCTTCCTTGTAACAAAATTTTCCTGAATTTTCTCGAGTCGTCGAAATGGTAAAACAAGACATGAAATGACAAATTAATAATAGCGTTTGCATAATGTGTCACATTTAGTAAGAACTTGAGAAAACCGGATATTTCAATGGACTGTATGATAAAAGCGATAATTTTTTTCTCTTTAGTGAAGTTGGAAGAAGTGAAAAATTCCGTCTTTTTTCTTTATTTGTTTATAGTATTTCAGTTTGGAGTTTTCGAGAATTGCAATCCAAAATAGAAGGATACCTCAAGTAGCTCCTTTCAAAAAGATTTTTCTCTTTTTCAATTTTATTAAAATCTGCTTTTACACATCTTTTAACCATTACTCATTTGCAGTCAATATTTCCATAATTCATGTATTTATCACTGAAAATTATAAATCACAAGCATTCATAAACTGCATAGTTTTTGATTGATTATCCGAAGAAATCCTCAACTCTTCTCTTCTTCTTCTACTTTCTTCATCAACAAAACCCTCAATAACCCTCCCTCTCTCAAATACCACTCACTCTTTTAACAAATTTGGACAAGTCAAAGAGAGGTGTTATATAATCCAGAAAATACTGTTATGGGTATTATTTAACATCAAGAAATTTCTCCATTTCCAAACTGCACAACCAAACCCATATTCAATTCTATCTCTAACCAATTTGGAAGTAACTGTCAGAACCTTCCTTTTCATTATTACTATTTTAATTCCCGCCTATTTAGACTAGTGCTATTTGTGAAATAGACGTTAACTTACTTTAAATGCTAAATATTTATCTTAATTTATCCTTATTTAGAGTCGTGATGATCAATAAAATTCAAGCGTATCTCCCAAAAGACTTTCTGAAAAGAATTTTCATCCCAGTCATCCTAATATTTCGTTTAGATTTGTATTGTTTAATTAAGTTTTTACCAGATGGTAACATTTTTACTAGGCTTATCTCCTTTTACATGTTTTTGTCTAGAACAAAAGGATTTACTAATGCTCTTTTTCAAATATATTCGTTTTCCCAAGGTCATATTTCTCATAAGTAATAAATAGTTCGATATATTTCACATTCTCTCTCTCTCTTTCTTTTGCTAATGGCTTCTGATATGGTTCATAATGTGAAATCTCTTTTGAATAAGTTTCTTTTTAAGTTCAACTTAATGAAAAATTCTAGCTTATTCAGATAAATCCAATTTTACCACGAAAAGTCAGAAACCAAAAATTATTCTGGAACTTTGGAGAAATCCAAATGAAGAGCAGATTTCTGATTTATGTTTCTTTTTATGAATACTTGTATACTTGGTCCAATTACAGCAACACCTTTTCGTGATGAACTAGTAACTATGACTTTGTGCAGGAGAATTTAAAATCGTTTTCTTCGATTTTTTAATTTCTTTCAGCTATGCAATCGTTTCCTGTGCAACTTGTTTTATTAGCAATTTGTATTAATTATTTTGATTTTAGATATTGCACATGTTCAAAACAATTTATTGATAAATGAAAATTTTCAGACAATTTATCTATTTTTCTGCCATGCTATGTAGTGCGTATGCAAATTTACTTTCTGTGAAGATCGACCCAACTAATAATTAAGCTGTTAGTATCTTGACACCTAATCACTAATAATTACACTGTTAGCACCTTGACTTTGATGAGTTAATCGTGGAATTTTGTTACCTATTAACCTTGTCTTAATTTTAACGAAAGATAAATTGACAGTTCATAAAGTTTTCATATGAGATAAAATGTTAAGTCTTTTTTAAGCATCTTACCCATATCTTTTATTTTTTGTAAATTAAGAAGAGATCGGCCCTTCTGCAAAAAGTCTGGCAGCTTTCTCTTTTATTTGTATGCCTTTTAATGGCAGCGTAGCAATGCGAGAATTGGCACAATCGTGCTATTAAACTTTTTCTAAATTATATTATTCATAGAAAAGAAACCCATAGACAGAGGAGCAAGACTGAAATGATGACAATTAAGGAGTTGGGGTGTGGGACTGGAATAGAGTATTGACAGACAAGAGATTACGTCATACTTTGGGAATGTCAACATCGTGTCAACTTCAAAAGAAGATTACATTGGTGCTTGTAGGCACTAATAAAATTCTCGTAAAAGAAACGGAAACAAGAAGCTGAAGTAATGCAGAATGTGTATTTTTAAAGTTCAAAAAAAGTTTGTGGACCGTAGCAAAGCAATAAGGATAAGAGACGAAGACATCATTGGCTAAATTTTGGTTTAATAGCTGGCGAGATGACACTTGCAAATTTAAAGAGGTAAAGTGGGACAGGGAAAAGAGAAAGCAATTAATGTTGAAATTAGAGATTTATCCAAGTCAAAGAACGTCTTCTGAACTCATGCAATGTATTGTACCATCATACTTCATGTTAAATTTTAATCAATTTTATATTTGGAACTTAGTTTTTTCATTCGAAATTTAATGACGACAATTTTCATAAAATAAAATGAATCGGAATGGTGAATACATATAACTCGAGTGAAAACAAAAAAAAAAAAATGATAAAAATAGGTTGAGAATGTTTGAATAAGTAGAGCTAAACCTATTTACTTTTCACCGTATGGCTAAGGAAAAATTACACCTGGATCATTGATTTTCACGAAGTTCAAATAGGTTTTGGAACTAGACGGATTAATTCATCTTGAACAAAAGAATCTGAAATCCTATTTCCATCTCAAAACTGATCTTCCCGTTTTTAAAGGAAAATTGAGCTTCATTCCACATCTCATTTCCTAAAAAAAAGATCTCTACATGTGGTATATTCAGAATGACTCTTTTCAACTTCTTTTTCTTTCGCTTTCTTTCTTTCCCAACTAACTTCAATTCCATCCCGAATAGGCTCAATACAAACACTTTATGGCAAACATTTAAGCATCAACATTACTATCACTTTCAAAATTTCTACAGAAACTTCATGATGATATTTCTGTTGTCAATAACTGGTGACACATGTGGGTTCATGTTCTACGACCAGCAAGGTATTCTTTAAGTACATACTCAAACAAATCCATACAATTACCATGAAATTTCACATTCGGTAAGTTGGGAATGTTGTTTTCGCGACAAATTCTTAAAAATATCCTTTTTGCAACATAGGTGCAGTATGAACAGTCATCGTCATAACAGTAAAAGTTACATCGTTTTCCAGCACATGAATTGAAATGAAGCACATCTTCCAGGAAGCATTGTTCCAAACAAGTTTCAATTTTGGGACATACCATTTCTGAAAACACAGTAAAAGGCGGCAGAGTGTATGAGCTTTATTACATGACTTAATGAAATTTACAGCGGTAATTAAATTCAAATTTAATGTTATCAGCCAAAATTTAGTTTCCTGAAAATGAATAAACTTTTTCCTGTTTTTGAAATTTCCGACATTTATTACTATACTTTTTATATACCATCCTTTGAACATCAATATTTTGTCTCTAATTCTTTTCACTGTTTTCGCATCACTGAAAAATTTTTCGGAATTCTGTACTTTCAGAATATTCTAAATTATTAGACGCAAATTTTGTCATGTACACATTTCATGCTGCCAGGGATTGATATAGTCATCTGACTTGGGAGTGATCTCAAAGAGACAGATGGCGTTTACATGGATGGGTTAACTTTCGTCAACTATTGCACATAATGATACACGTAATGAACTTTGAATTTGGCTCTCATTCAACCAAGGAATGGAACAATATTAGGAATTGCTTTTTATTTAAAATCGTTTGTTTTATTTGTTTAAAATAGTCATATAAATAGGATTTGATGGGAAATACCCAGCAAATTAGGCGCATCTCTAATTTAAGGAAGCGCTCTATTCAATAAGAAAATTAATAGTAGAATAGCTTCAAAATCAGAAAAGCATCAAGTATTGGTGATAAGGAACGGCATTGGTAGAAAAACTGAACAATGCTCAGCGATTAGATCACAAGGGCAAAATTTGAATATCCTATTCGTTAATTAATTAAATATCTACTAAAGCATTACTTGTTTTAATACCAGAGGTAATTTTAGATAGCTGATCTAAGGCATAGTTGCACTGCTCACATGCGGTACATGCATCACGACATTTTGTCATAATGCAAACAAAACTGAACTGATCAACCATAGTTGAAAACATTCCAACCGCGCTCATCGTGTGCATTGCTGCTTTGGTTTTTCTGAAAGCATAGATATATAAGGTTAATGTAATATTAATAATTTGTATAAGTGCATGCATTCATGGCTACTTGCATCATACGGAGATAGAATCATTTCAGGTTTGTTTTGCCTATCTTCATTTGCAGCTTATCAATTTAGCATCACATTTCATGCCCGATCTACTTTTAATTTTTATAAACATGATTTCCATTTTTAATTTTTAAATATCCAACTAGTTATCTCAATATCCTTTTTTTTTCTTTGAAAAGGATAACCTGAAGAGAAACATCGTTTGATAGTGCAACGAACAAGATTTCCACAAGAATTGGCGTCAGCTGACGAAAAACGTACGACGTCCCATAGTATGATAGAAAATGCCAGTTTTAGCATACCTGAAATATTCATTGATAAAATCACAGAAGCTTGATTAGAAATTGTTATTTGCAATCGTTGTTGTTTGACTAAATTTCAATTTAATGACGGAGTGAATATTCATCTTTTGATTTTCAATACTTATAGCAAGTTTACCAAACATATGTAGAGGCAAATCGTTTGGGTCTTTCGTACCTTCGCACCTTATCACTGACACTTACCTAAAAAACTTTAAATTTGATTATGTTTAAATGAAACAGATGCAAGGCTTAAAATTTAACACTTCATGTAAGGATCACAAAGGTATTTCAACTACAACGACAATGAATAACAATTTCTACGCAATTTCGATTTGCGCAATTTTGTCGTCAATGAATTAACGTATTTTCATGTTCAAATTTGTATTTTCTTTTCATCTTCTAATTTCAAACTTGAAAATTCTAATAATTTCCTTTCGCATATCAGTTTCGGTTTACAAATTCTTTCATTCTTTACATAACCTCAATCAATCCATTGTTAATGAAGCATCGGTAATTTAAGCAGGAGTGTTTAGTGATTGAGGTCATATGTTCTTTGCAGGTCAGAAGAAAGGGTGTCTACATTGTCTATTTATTTAAGCAGAGGGTAGCAGCAATTAGTTAATTAAAATTCTTATCATGATTTAAAGTTCTAAAAGAAATTAAACTTCTGAAAAATGTATTTCTCGTCCTAAGACTAAAATAACCAATATTAACCAAATATTACTATGATCTGTGAGATCAAAATTATAGCGAGTGATTTATCCATGTAATCTTTCAGAAGTGCTCGTTCTTCAAACATTTGCAACTTAAAACAAAATTGATTTCTACTTTAAAAAATGATTAAAGCGACATATTACTAATGAAATAATTTTACCAACTCTCATTTTTTAACTGACCACTTTTCTGAAACATTTAATTAGTCACTTTTCTGACACAATAAATAAACAGAAATTCAATTTGAATTCAATATCCATATGGATTTTTAAGTCCAAAGAAGGGTAAAACCACCAAACAGTTTCACTAAATCTTAAATAAAATATTACTTTCTCTACGGCTTTCAAGAGAAAAATGATGTCGCAACATATTCAAATAAAAGAGATTGATCATAAAGTAGGAAACTATTCCGTATTGAATTAACTTTTAAAAACGGAAGTATCAAATCTATTATATCTTTTAGCGATAACACAAAGAGTAAGAGAATATGAACAAAAAAAATCAGATTTGATTCAAGAAGTATCACATTTATCAAGAATGAGATGATGGCAATGATAATGATGATTATAATCTTGGTTGTAATGCAAATTAACACAGTTATTTATGATAATAGTGATAACAACTTCTGTTCAGAAAAGGCAGAAGCGAAAGGCGATGAAGACATGTTCTGTTAACATTCAAAAAGAGTAACTGGTGTAAAAGCTTTTCAAATGTTGTTAGTTTCAACCTCGAAATTAAAACATGATTTTTGAGCGAACGACACGATACGGTAACCTCCCACAAGTACTTTCACAACATGAAAATTTTACAACATAACGAACTTCATGTACTCACCTTCGATTGGTTCAGAATTATTCAACAACAAATGTTGAATTATCACTGAAACAAAGTCTACAAAAGTACAAATACCATTTTAAAAGAGAAAAGATTAAATACATTGTTGTTGTTGTTGTTATTATTGTCGTCGTCGTCGTCATTGCCGTCGTCGTCGTCGTCGTCGTCGTTCATACCACATCAACAAGAAGTTTTGTTCGATAACTTATTTCCTTATTTACACATTATCATACTTACCTTGCTTGTCAAATAATGTTGATTTCGTAAATTTAAAAATTCCATAGAAAGTTGCAGTTTACTGAAACTTTTGTCATAGTAATTCATCAATTTCATTTTCATACTTCAAATATTGGATACATTTGATATTCTCTACAGCTGGCTAGTCTTTACAATTAATTTCAATACGATTCATTTAGCTAGTAAAGATTTGATGAAAGAAAATTTGCATGAATAAAATATGAAATGTTGAAGTGATCAAGATTAGCGTGAATACCTTTCATTAGGATGAGGTTTCATATCTTTGCATTAGTGCAATTGAGGACAATTGGTCTTTTCCTCTCAAAACGATAGACATTTAACTTGTTCCATCTTCAAATCAACCTAGTGTTTCATTTGATTGCTTTGAAGAAAAGTTGATTTTCAAGGGGTTTACGCTGATGTTTCATGTTTTGCTCCAGTTTAATCAACTTTTCCCATCTGTCTCTTATACAGATATCAAGTTTCGCTGTCATAAATGATGACTGAATGAATGGTTGAATGATTGGAACGAAATTTAAAATTGAGATATGTAACGGCGGCTTCTTTCTTATGATGAAACATTTTCTCATTTTCAAGTAAGCATTTCTATTGAAAACTTTTATTTCTCTCAGATCGATTGAGAAGCATACCAAAAGGATTTTGTTTCAGAGCACAATCTGACCATGTGAGATATCATTTCTCATTTCAACTTCTTTGAACAGACTTAACAATTTAAAGCTTTTTGCGGTAAAGTATAAATTATATGCAAAGTGGGAATGAAATCCGATCTTACTCTTGAATTTCTATCCAAATCTGAAATAGCATTAAAAAATTGTATAATCAGAAAGAAAAAAGTGGGGGAATAGAAAAATGAGGCGGAAATTACCTTGGTTAATTAATCACCTTGCTTATTTTAGCAGCACAAAAGTAGTAAGTTGGTCGATATTGCCATAATCTGTGATTAAAAATATCTGCTAGCCAATAATTAGCATAATTCATCACTTTTGTCACTAACACCTATCTATCGATCAGCTCGAAATGTTTCGAACGTTTTCTCTTCCCTTCTTGCTTCTCATTTTTTTCTGCTAAACCTTTGAAGTGAACATAATCTTTTAGTGTATTCCAGTACTATTCAGCATACTATTTCTAATTCATTTCCATTCCACTCACAGTCTCGATTACCTCTTATAGGGCAGTAATAGTTCTAATGCGATACCACAAAAATAATTTGCGCTATGCGTCGTTTGTCAAAAAATGCGCAAACCGACTTCATCTTTTCCTCACTTTATTCTATTTGGATTCGTTGCTTATACTTGTCTTGAATAGACAGGTTATGAGCTCAAAGCGTGCTAATTACATCCTACCTGAGTACGAATTACTTCGAAAGGAAAATTTTAAAATTTATTAAAATACAAAGTATATGAAAATATGCAAAATACACGGTTGAGGTGGTCAAAGATACATGAAGACAAAAAATAAAGTTTGACAAACTTTGGTCACTAAAGGTCAAATTAATAGTTTCACTTCTTCCGCTAGTCTTCCAAGTCTTCCAAGTTTGAAAAATGGACGATCAAAACAGTCCGAAAGAAGTGCCACTGTCTTTGTGACACTTCGATATTTTCTGAATTTGTTTTATCAGATTATGGTTTTTGAATTGTTTAATTTGATCTCATTCTTTGATAAATAATAATAATCCATGACTATGTGAGCAATACATTCAGCAAGACATTATCACAGCAAAAAATTAAGATTCATAAAACCAAAAAAAAGTAATAATAATAGAAAGGAAACGAAGAGATTAGTGTCATCTTGAAGGACGAGAAAACTTGAGTTTAACTGTAATTTTAAATTTATTGCTCTTCATCAGTGCTACTTCAACTAACATTCATATGAGAGAAGCAAAATGAATCAAACGGTCCGTTTTGGCGAAATCAACAGCTGACTCTCTCCACTGCTCTAAAATTTTACTTTTTATTTTTGCTAATTCCTACTTCAACTAACCTTGTAAACTTCCAAGAACTATTTCGACATCTTTTTACTTGACAAAAATTAAAGGCAGGAATTAATTAGAAAAGTGTTGGTTGTATTGAAATTAATATATAGTAATCACAGAAACTAAAAAAAACATCTTGAGCAAATTATAAAATTTAAACTTTGACAGGGATAGTGGTAAGTGATTTCAAATCAGCTCTTTCATTGTTACTACCAAATGAATGACCGCGATTGTCGTGACGCTTGTCGAACTCCTTCTATTCATCGATCCTTAAACGAATGGTAATTTGGAGTCATTTTCAAAATAATTCCAAAAAAGCGCAGAAATGTATTTAACTCCCTAGCTTTGCTTGTAAGACTCATTTTTCTTTTAATTTGCTAGCATAGTAATGATTGATGATAACTAAGGAATGACATATTTCTATTTCATAAAAAATTGCGCATAAAAATAGAAAATGTCATTATGAAATTGTTTTTTTGCAAGAAGTCGAGAGTTTGGCCAAATTATTTAATTGCTCTTTACCTATCACTCCTTTCACACCTTTAATTGAAAGTGCTAATTTCTCCCCAAATTTTAGCTTTAAATTACCTAAAGCAAAGTAAACAGTAAAAAAAGTGATGTGCAAAGCAAGCATTCTAAAATGCTTCATGTCTGTGGAAAATAATGTTATTGTTTGCCAATTCAGAAACATTAGCCATCGGTGAGTTTAGTTCCACATAGACTAAGTTCGCTTGAAACGCTACACGCGTAACTGCTTTTGATGCTTACTAGAGCATTGGAATAACTTATTTATTTGTTTCAACCTAATAGGTAAGGCCTAAAAACTACAACATAATAATGCCATCAAAATTAGTTTATGGCCAAACCTTTCATGTTTCAACGTTTTCGACCTTAGAGTAAATTGAAGTAGGCCGAATGGAATTGTGAACATTTCAAAAAAAGAGAAAGGACTTGTTCTATGAATCAGATAAGAGAAGAAGAGATATTTCAAATGTGAAGAGGCTATTTACTGTTAACCATTGTCCGAGAATAATGAAATATAGATTTATCGGACCGAATGATCTAATAGATTGGGAGGGTCTAAAAAATCTTTTAAATCTGTCAGGAAGAAAAATTAATCGAAAGTTTTACAAAGTGCTAATTGAAAATTATCAAAGTTGGAAGTGAAAGTATAAATAATCACTTTGCTATTAATAATCAAATTAATCAAATCATAAAATTAATCACTTCGTCAAAAATTTTGAAGAATTATTTTGCCTCAAAAAAGAAAACTTCTTAATCTTTTGATTTTAAAGGACTGGGTTTAAGGAAGATGTATGCATTAATAAATTTCTTCAAAATTATCAAATATGCATTCAGCTACCGGCTTTTTGCCCTTGTGCATAAAATTTTTTTGGATCATGCTGAATCCAAATCTTAGAATTTCGATTACACAGATTACCGCCACACAAGCAGTAGTGACCGTCCAACTGAAAGTTACCACCTCGACCGCGCAATGTGATGGACCGTTCGAAACATCGCACTTCACCGTCGAAAAGCCCAACTGAGCAGCCTTGTGCAAGTGCTGTAATGCAGAAAGATTTTCGAAGTATGGAATCATACATAAAGCTGGTAAACTGACTTTAATGCAAAGAGTCAAACGTTTATTGGTTTGTTAACTTTCAGCAACAATAATTTAAATTTTATATCTCTAAATAATCCTAGAGATACCCAACTTGGAGCTAGTGTCATCAGTTAGCAACAGGCATCTTTTAGTTTACAATGTTCGATGTAAAATATTTTCATTTATTGTAAGAAAGCACCTTCTGTGAATTTAGGACATATTTTGAAAAAAAAAAACCATTTCCATTATCCATACTACGATAGTGTTCAAAACTGAGGTCGTTAGAAGAACAAGTGAAGAAGAATTGTCAGCGATGTTTGAAAAACAAATTAATTAAATAGTATTAATAAGAAGGAACAATGTACCGAAAGGCTGCTTTGTTCCATCTACCGTATTGATTCCGCTAATTTGAAAAATATAACATAAACCGTTGCAAGTTAGATTTTGTGGATTTTCACAAGGGTGATCATCGATTAATGCGCCACTTTGAGAGTTCGTCACTCGATAATTCACAAATTTATTCCAATGCTACAATATTTCAATACTAATAATGCTTTTAGCAATTAATTTCAAGAAATTTCTTTGAATTTGTAAACAGTTTACAAATACAAATTTAAAAAGAAAAAAATTGTAGAAAATTTTACAGTAACAGCGTGTTTTGTAGCGCATGACATACAAATGATGGAAGCAGAAATTAGAATTGAAAAAGATGGTAATAGCCAAATAGAAGTTAATGCCAATATTACTGTATTCATTCCTGCCAATGGAAATTCTGAACTAGGATACGGTCTATTCTGCAACGCGTATCTAAATGATTCACATCATCGCATCACATGCAATTCAAGATAGTCATTTAAGTAAGGAATGAGAAAGAACACTTAAATCAGAAAATGCAATGAAATAAAGGAAAGAATTTTTAAATTTGTAATTGTATTCAAAAGTAATGCTGACTATATGGACATAGTCCAAAAATAATTACAAATTCAAAAGTAGGAAATCAAAAATTTGCAATACTTCCCGAACATTTCAAAGAAGAGAGTAAACTTTTTGTTGATTGCATCAGTAAATTATTTGGTTAAGTACTTTTAAGTGGGAAATTTGAAATGGAAAAAAAATATTTCGATGCAGTTAACCTGCTCTGCATAAAGTGCTTAGGCTTTCCTCAAACATTTCAAACGAGAATGAATTTCTCTTCGTTATTGCGCAGTTACATTCTAATGATTATTGACGAAATCCATTTAATTTTGAACTTCCGATTAACTTCTTTCAGCGGCCTTTTTTCAAAGAAAATTGATCGTTGAAATTGTTTTGGATAAAAGAAATTAAATTGAATTTAACGAAAGATTCAATGAAGTTTAAATTGCAAAGATGTGATAAGAAATCAATTACTACTAATTATATTATTGTTTGAGAGTAGCTTTGAATCATAATAATTGCAAATAAAATAGTTCTTGCTAACATTCCGATTAATAAAAGCAGATTTTATAGAGTTAAGTCTGCTTTTTCGAATCGTTGATTATTAGTACAATTATTAGCTTCGCGTTATTGATGAGGTGACCTTCATAACCAGATACGTTTCATTTTGAGATAGGCTCGGGATTAGATGACAATCTGCCTCAATTGTCTGCAGTTTCATTGGATTGCCTATCGGTAACCGATAAGCAATACTGCTTAACTTCACTTTCTCAGGATCAAATTTTCGAAACTGAAGAACAGACTGAAGGAAATTGATTAATTTCTTGCGAAAAAAAAAATTAATAAAAATGAAAAATTTAAGAAACATTTGTGTAGTGAATTGTTCTTGTTTTTTTTTAAAAGCTAAGATTAATAAATTTTCGAGAAATTAAAAGAGAAATGTTAGCCATGGTGAGAGATGAAAAGATAAAGAATGGAATTAAAAACAAAAAGATAAAAACAATTTTGAATAAAATTAAAAGAATAGTATCGATCTCTTCAATCATAACAACAGCAGAAGGAGTAAAAAAAAAGAAAAAAGAAAATGGTGCAGTTAATGTATTCATCGAAATGTCCGGCAACGAGCAGAGACCGTCATCAAAAAGATCCACGGCGCTGATAATACCCTGAGCCGAACCGATGGAAAGTGGCAGTTAGATCTGCATATCTATCGTCTTTTAAATGTACATTTCGGGACACCGGTCATATCGCTTCATTGCTTTCTACAGCAATTTACAATTAATACTACTAAATTATTGGTGCTGACGTCAGTTCTCTATATTTCTATCAAAATTTCATTTTTCATTTCGTGTTAAAACTCACATAGAAAACATTTGGGTGAATAAGAGTCTTCTGCTTTGGATGAACCCAGCTAAATGAGTCTTTTTCCTTTTTCCCAATGAGAAGCCAGAAAAAGATGATTCATTTCATAAATGAGATATGAAATTAGTTCCATTCGAAGAGCTATTCATATTACACATTGGTATATTTATGTACACCATTGATAAAAAATAATTTTATTGGCATTAATAAATATTAAAAGAAAGGATAAGCCTATGAAAGGCCGACCTCTGATCCTTAGGCTTTATTCATTGCTATTCACCGGGCATTTTTTACAAATGATATTTTGATGCTCTCAATATACTCTAATATTTAACCGTAAGGAATTATCCAGTGATTAACAAAAACAAAACAAAAGACAGTGAGACATTTTATTTAATGAGTAAAGGAAATGAGAAGTAATGGAGCAAGGAAAAGAAGGCAAAACTAATTAGTTTTGGAGACTCTCAGTCTTATATCAAAAAAGCCTATTTCTACTCTTCAGATATATTTAGCACTAACCAAATTTTGAAGTAAATGTGGCTTCATCTCAAGATAGATTCTATGACATTGAATTATTTGAAGGACGAACTGGAATTAATTGGGAGTACTTTTCACACAAATGACCGCATTGTTAATTGAGATATGACATGAATAAAAAATATTTAGTTATTAATATCAGCCTGGTGACAGCAACAGTCAGTGGAAAAGTTCGTCCCACATGGCTAATCCCTTACTGAGGACTCTTTTCTGTTCTCTAACGATGAGTCTAAGGAAGAGACATAGGCTGTTTCACAGTGAGAACACCCTGTTGTGGAAAATGTGTTCGGTCGTTGGTTCAAGAATTCCTGAATGACGAACGGAAAACGAGAGGAGTGAGGGGTGGGGGGGGAGGGGGGGGAGGGTGTGGGGAAGTGGAAGATCGCAGTAACTGACCGTGCTGATTAAGCCAAATTCTGTAGAGAGGTAGTGGGTTAAGATATAATCAGTTTTCCCGTGGTGTAGGTTGACACAGGAGAATAGCATCATAGGGAAGCAAAAGACACTGATAAGGTTTGCGGGCTATCTCCTCTTTCATTCTCTTTTAAAGAAGGAAGTTTACAAATAGTTTTCAGGATTGTTGGATATTTATGTGAGGTTTTTTGGCTTCTTAACAAAATTGTCACCATTATTTGTTCTAAAGTATGAACAGATTGGGCATCGCTAATGCATTCATCCAAATAGGAAATGTAAAGAATCAGTCAACTTCCATTCATATTTTCAGTGTATGCTATGCATCATAGTTGAACGATGTTGTTGGTACGTGCTGCTCGATGTTCGAGAATTTTGCTGCCGATAGGGAAGCTTGCATCTTTGTGTCATACACCTTCAATCTTGCCGTCTAATGGTATTGTGAGAACAAAGTGGTTGTGGGGAAAGGTTAGTGTTTCTGTAAGATCCAGTTGATATTCGGATCTTTTTGTTAATATTTGGAAACAGTTTTAAAGAATAATTGCCTCTTTCAGGATGCAGAAGGTCCAGAAATAGCTGTTGGCGCGAAAAGTGGAGCAGACGATGACCCGATTACAAATACGACGGATAAACCATATCTTGGTGAACCGGATGACCCACCATTACAGATGTACGAAAATTGTACAGAATTTAGTAAAAAACTTTTTCGCAGCTTTGTTTTTGTGTATTTTTAATTTTTTCAAGATTAGCCAGAATCGTCACGGTTGGCAGAATTATTTTTATTATTTAATTGTAAGACTTCATCTGAAAAAGAAAACTGGCAAATTATGCGTGTTTTGTACATATTAATTTTTAATATTTATTGCTTAAGTAGTCATGCCTACTGTCGAATTCATACCGTCGTGTTGCACATTTAACTGCCAACTATTGTTTTTATTAATTCCGCTGTAGGTGGTATTATCGAGAAGCACCACCTCAAAGCACTACACGATTGGAAAACTTGATGCTTACCTTAACAAGTTCTTTGCTGTGGGGCTGGTTTGTATATCATTTATATTACAATTACGGAGAACTTATCGTTAGTTTCTTCTTTCGCTTTTATATAAGTTTCATATCATGAGTTATTTAGAACCTCTTTTGAAACCATCGCTGTTTCTAAGTAATATTTCCTGGGGAAAATTGGTTCAGAATGATCACACAAAGTCAGTTGAGAGTCATACCTAGCTTCTTTTTCATTGTTCCTTCATGCTGGAAGTTGAAGTCATCTTCTTAGTTCTTTTCAATAAAATAACAAAAAAAAGAAAAAATGATGCTAGTCTTGAATGTGCTGTTCAAAAGTGGTCAGGAGAGATGGTGAGATTCACAAATCAAATTTGAAACATTTGAGATGTGTGATCTTTAAGCCTACTAGAAACAGTTTCGAAACCTCTTCACTTTAAAACCCATTAAAGCTAAACTTTATTACAAAATGTATGCGTACCATGTTGTAGGGTGAATATTATATTCCTGCTCCAGAAGAATTTTCGGATGAAGAACTTGGAATCCCACCGGACGATGCACCGGACCCAGAGTACTGGGGTGATCATCCATTGTCTAGAGGCATGTAATTAATGTTATATTGTAAAAAATGCTTTTTTGCGCATTTTACTCGTAATTCAAGATTTCCCTTGATAGGTTTTTAAAGTAAGTGTTTGATTGCTCTCATTACAGAACCACTAAGCAGTATGTAGCCCTTATTTCTGTTTAGTAAAATTTATCTTCTTAGTTTAAACTGTGTGTAGCCCTTATTTCTATTTAATAAAATTTATCACCTTAGTTTTGTGTTGTATTATCAAACATATATAAGGAATTGCATTGCCTACTCGTACACTGGCGTCGTTTAGGTTTGTAGAAATTACATGTGATGTTTTTTTGCCTAATAGACTTCAGCGTTCATTGTTCTGCAGATGAAAAATTGGGTTACACGTGAATATATTGTTTTAAGCTTGGATATAATATCAAACTAAATAAGGATCAGTTGGTTTTTTGGTGTTTGGTTTGACCAATTAATTGACTGGTGTAGTTTCATGGGTTTTGCCAGAGACAACGTTGAAATTTATGGGTGGAAACTGAAAGCGTTTAGTAAGCAAATTAACTTGAAATGGAGGCTTTGGTTACTGCTACATTTTCTGATGTCTGGTTCGATCTGGGGAAAAATATCATGGCTTTCGAAATGCGTTGTTCAACTACTTCAGTGTTAAACTGTTTAATCATTTTCCAAACATGAAGTCATTGCTCATAGCTGTTGGTTCTACCAATTTTTAATGTCAGTGCTTTTTCTTTGTAGCTTTCCGTTATTACCATTACAATCTAAGATGCAATGGGATATGGAAGAATGCGCTTGAAAATGATTCTTCCTTTTTTACGTCTTTTTGATGGGTAATAAAATTTCCGCAAATTGCACATTGAAACTTGATTTAAAAATTATATTGCTTCATGAGGCTCTATTTTTTTCCAGCACTTTATGTTACTCTCATTCCAATTTCAAAGCATGCTCTGATTTGTATAAACGATCGAGATCCACCAGCGAAAATGTGCTCCAAATCATTTTTTCCATTCAATTGACAATAATTTTAATATTACGATCTAATTGTGGACTATTCGACTTATATTTAGCTAAAATTCAACTTCATCTTATTAAGAAATATTAAACTTTTGGAGTTCAAGTTTCAGCTTCATTGGAAGAATATTTATCTCTTAAATAGTTTGGATGGCTGAACTGCAGACTTAAAAGAAATAAAGAAAATGGTTAAAAAGGTATGTTGGCTCTTTGGTATTATAAATGGTGAACTCGTCACCTGGTAAAATAGTATCTCGATGCGCAACATATCGAATAAAGGATAAAATCAATGAATTTAAATGATAATTCCCTGCAATTAAAAGGGGTAATTACGACAGTTACAATGAATTACGTTCTAAATCTACATTGTAGTTGTTTATTTTGTTCACGATACTTTCCATGCCTTTTTTTCCGAGCATTCTTCAGCAAATGATTTGTTATAAAATTTAGCAACATTAATTTATCGCTCACCTCAGCACAGTTTATAGTCAAAACTTCTCTTATAGCAAACGGGTTCCACTTGACCTACTGATTTGTCATTTATAACACCTCGAATAACCCGCCAGTAAATTAAATCACCACTCATTAATTAGTTAATTTATGCTATTTGGGTCCAAAACGAACTGATTTCTGTAATTTTCAATCTCTTTATGATGGTCAATCTTTGACCTTCTTGACCGTCTTATCTCAGCTTTTGCTTTACCCCGTTTTAGCGTAAATGTATCAACATTTAATTAATCATATTACAGCATACATCAATATTTGACCCTTGCATCATTTATGAATAAGCGTTCATTTCTCGACTGAAGCGACGAAAGTTCTGGGTACCGTCAAGGGTGAACATCTGGTTGCTTTAAATAATCGAATATGAATTGGTGAAAGTTAATTTCTAGTTCATCCACTCTAGTCAAAACTGAATGGATTTCAGGTCAGTGAATCGAAAATAATAAAGTTTCAAAATGTAGTTGCCCAGCAAGTTTCATGTTGAATTTTTGATTACATGATGAGGTATGCTTTTTTTTGCTTTATTGGCGAGAATTAGATATTTAAATATGGGAAAGTGGATCAGTTTCGTTATCAAATTGATAGTGATTACTTTTCAACGGTTAATATTTTTAATTCCAAATTGCAGTTCTAAATTCCCTATTAAGGAAAGAGATTAATTAATTGTTGAATGATGGACGAATGGTTTGAATAACACTTCAATAATTCAGCAAATCAAATGAAATCAGGTTCCTTCCCATCCATCATCTGTTTCCGTTCCAAGCAAATTTTCTAATTTTGTCAGCAATTTCAAGTTTCGCCTCTTATTGCTGATGAAATGAGGGATATATAAAAATATATGAGAGGATTTTAAATTCCTGCACTTCAATAGAAGACGACGTCCTCTCAGGCTACTTACTAATTTGAGGAGGCATCAATCTGTTTACAATCCCTTTATGCATAGCAGCACTTCAAATAATTTTGACCGAATTCCGAGCTGAGCTTTCATTGTTACGAAAGGACGCTCTATTTTCAATTTCCCTTATCTGTATAGTTTATAGCCGTAAATAGGCACTATCATATCAATATCATTCATGTACATCTTCATCTCTCTATCCATTCAAACGAATGTAATTCGTTTCTATTGAGAAGGAAAGAGGAAGCGGAATAATGAATGTATTGCACCATTGTATAGGTAGGTAGTCTCTTTCATTCATCCTACTAATTTACGTAGATCACTCTTTCATAGACGGAAGATGTATTTCTTCTTTTACATCTTAACTATTGATAACAATGACAGAAATCAATATTTCTTATACAAAAGATTTGGATTAAAAGATCAAATGTTAATGAATGAAAAAGAATGATCATTGATAATTGCAATGAGAATCATTGATCAGCTTTCTGCGACATAATACATCTAAAAAGAAATCTTTTAAATTATGCAACAAAGTTGTGATCTGAGTAAGTGTCACCTGAACAAGCATTCCATTCTTTTGTGAACATCAATTATTCAAGCTATCATTTCTTGGTAATCACCAATTTGTATCTCCCTATGGTATCATTGAAGATTTTAATGAAATGGTCAAATTTACTGGAATTAATGATTGGTAAAATCTTTATTCGATATATCCTGATCCAAATATTTCCATAACAAATTATTCTCCAGAACTTCCCTATTAATTTCAAACGACATCCGCATTTCTTTTACTTTTACTTTCTCCATCATTTGGAAGGAGGGAAACTTACAGTATTATCCATTCACTCTTCTGTGACCCATTTCCTGCTTTGAGACATAATTATATCCCCTGCTACATTTTTTCGTACCAAAAACTTTACTATACGATATCAACATTTTCCTTACAACGACAAGGACTCATATGAAAAGTTGTCATAATTATTTCTGAACAATTTTCCTGTTCTTAGCGCAGTGAATAAGCAAAACTTGATTGTGATAATGAACTTTTTCGATGGGAAATGACATTGTTGATGTTGAAAATTCTCTTGCTTTTGCAATATTTTCACTTTGGAGATGTTTTTTAAAACACATATCAAACTGTTTGAATCTTAATGTTAAACTGTTTTGAATCTTTAATATCAACAATGGTAACAATAAATAGGATAGAATAAGACTGTCAACCATGCATAAGTGCACACATACACACACACACACGTACACACACACACACACACACACACACACACATATGTGCCAAATTTCATTGCTTCTGAATAAAAAAGTTTTAGGAAGAGTTTCTTCATTTACAGAACTTTTGACAGTAAAGCTCAATCTTTTGACGTTAGTGATGTTAGACAGAACTGATATTCTTTTATATATTCATTAGGATGGTCATTTTCTCTGACTTCTATCGGAAACATTATGGTTGAAATGGTTTGAGCATAACAAAGCCATAACTTAACATTTCTGTTGTGACAGCACTCTGAGTCATAACAAGAAATTAACATGAATATGAAGTGACTATTACTTGAATTTCTTGAATATTTAAAATGTAATCAGATCTTTTTTGAACCAAAAATAACCAACAATGATTTTAGCAATGCGCATTTGTTCACTGCCTTGTTTCCGCCAAAATCGCAGTGATGTACCATGAGATGTAAGTCTTTGAGATTGGAATGTCTCGAATATTCGTACGCTTACACCAACTGAAAGGGATAATATTACATTTCTGAAGAGAAGATCATGGAAAGAAAGCATTCATGAAAATTAATAAATAATGTCTCAATGAGAGTGAGAAAAGTTCATGATAATTCCGTTGGGAGCATGTTACATCCAGTTAGATTCTTTTATCGAATGCGGGAGAAGTCTCCGAGAGAAGAAAATCTCTTAGAAGGACAAAAGCTAGAAAGAAATATAGTTGATTTTTTGGGCGAAAATTTCAAAAGATCAAAGCAGGATAAAAGGAGGAATTAACGTTCATTTTAAATTCGTAGAGAATTCATATGCAAATCAATGAAAAAAAAACTTTTGTGGCCTTTATTATTCCTAAAATGAAGTCCTCCTGCAATAATTTGATCCGTTAAATTCACCACTGGGGATGCCAAATAACGGATTTTCGGGCACAACACTTGTGATAACTTTGTGCCTCTTCAAAAGCTACGGTACGGCTTCTCAAAGAAGTTTCGATTATTTTATTAATCCGCGAGATACATAGTGTTGTTAGAAATGCCGGTATGTTAACCTTTGGCTTTTGAAAGACAAGATTGCACCAAAGATTCAGACGGATTTGTAATTAGAGGTTTGAGAGTTCTGCACCAAAGGTTGGAATATTTGATGTTTAGACATCAAGCTGGTATAACGGATTGTGGTCTAAATGAACGAGAAATAAAAGGAAGGGCAAAGTTCTTACAAGTTTCAGTAATTTAAGAAAATTATTTGTTGAAAGTTGCTAAATTATAAGAAAATAAATAGTTGAGTTTTTCAGTATAAATTTGCTCCTTTGAGAGTTTAATCTTATGGCTAATCACGATGTTCTGATTCGTAAT